CTTTCTTTCTTTCTTGTACTAGAGATTGAATCTAGAGCCTTCACACTGAGCTACATCCCCAGTTTATTTTTATTTTGAGACAGGGTCCTCCTCCTAAGTTGTTAAGTTGCCCAAGCTGGGCTCAAACTCATGATCCTCCTGCCTTAGCCTCCCAGAGAGTTGAATTACAGGTGTATACCACCATACCTGACTGGGGAACATTTAAGATCCAAACTCTAGCATTGTAATTAGTAATAACCTAGTCATAGAGCTTTGTGGATACTGTATTCTTCAACTTTAAATTTTATGAAGGAATAGAATGTTGTTTAGATTAACTGCTTTCCTACCACTGTTTCATAATGTCGTTTTAATTATTTTAGAAGAACACCTTATTATAGTTTAAATTTTCTTTTTTTTTTTTTTTTTGTACCAGGGATCGAACTCGGATCCGTATGTTTGTGAGGCAGGTGGCAGAACCACTAAGCTAAATCCCCAGCCCCTAGTTTTAAATTTTTTATAGTCCTGAGGTCTTTTATTGATTTTTTTTACCTATTATACTACAGATTTTTAGCGAATAGGTTTAGTCCCTTTTCCATTGGTTCTCACAGATGGTGTGGGCATAGATGAGGCTCTATGTTCACTGCCCATCTCCAGGAAAACCCTAGGAGCCAGGTGTGGGGGTGTACACCTATAATCCCAGCACTTGGCCTACTGAGGCAGGAAGATCATGAGTTTGAGATCAGCCTGGGCTATGGCGTGAGTTCAAGGCCAGTCTGGACCACATAGCAAGCCCCTGTCTCAAAAAACAAAAAAGACAACAAAATAAAACCTAGGGTATTTTGGGACCCAGCTAGCATTCCTTCTAGTTGTCCTTCTCTGGTAACCCTCTGACTGGTCTCCCTGGCCCAATTCTTGCCTCTCTATGGTTTCTCTTCCCAAAAGCTAGAGAGTTATCTATGTAAAACATTTTTTAAAGGGCTGTAGATATACCTCAGTGCAAAGGCCCTAGGTTCAATCTCTAGTACCACCAAAACAAATAAACAACTCACAAAAAAAACACTCTCAGATAAGTTAAATCATGCCATTTCTCTGCTCAAACCCTTCCAGAGGGCTGGCAGTATAGCTCAGTGCCATAGTACTTGTCTAGCAAGCATGAGGCCCTGGGTTCTATCCACAAATTCTAGAAGAACAAAGCAAAACAAAAAACCTTGCAAGTGGATTCCCTTCATAGTTAGAGCAAAAGCCAAAATCCTGTTTATATAACCCTGAAGACCCTTCCTGTCCTGGCCTTGCCTGGCCCTCCCTTCGTGCTACCCCTCTCTGGTCAAGTAAGAGGAGCGACTGTAGTTCCCCAAACCTGCCAAGCATTTGTCCTTTCTGTGTCCTTCTCTAGTAACATTCTTCCCAGCTTTTTTACAGGGTTTGCTTCCTCTCTTCTTCTACATCTTTGCTCAGATACCTGCTCCTCTCCAGGACCATTCTTTCTTATAGCACTTAGCACTATTTGACGTTAATCTTGATTGGTTTAGTATGCATGTGTCTCCCCTGTTAACATGTGAACTCCATGAGTACTGTACAGGGCCTTTGTTCATCACTGTGGTCTCAGTGCTGTGAAGAAAGTCAGGTACATGCAAAGTACTGAATAAATATTTATTTAATTAATGAATGAATAATACCCTACACATTAGGTTTATACTTTCACTTATTCTCTTTCATTGAATATGTGACTGTACAAGGGGCCATGTGATTTTTTTTCTTTTTTCCTTTTAGTTTAAGCCATTTCTTGGTTATGTAGACAAAGCTTATGTCAGTTTCATAGCAGTAGAAAACGAATGAAGCGGAGTCCTCATTACCTAGTACACACCCTAGTATTCTGATGCAATCAGGATGCCCAAATAACTTTAAATGCAACCCAAAACCTACTTATTTATTGCAGAGTGCCAACACTGCAATTAAAACTGAATACTGAGGTTTTAGTTTAGAAAAAACAACACATACAATTCATGACATCATTGCAGAGAGCTTGTGTGTTCACTGCAGCATACATACCACAGGTTCACTATGACTGTGTTTGTTTTTCTTGGTTTTCCCCCACAATTGATGTGTACTGGCAAGTTTGGGAAACAAACAGACAAAATCATTAAAATCTAGTACACTGCCTCAGTTCCCCAGTGGAATTAAGAATAAGATTAGGCACCTAAAATGTACCAATAAAAGGATATACAAAAAAAAAAAGAATAAGATTAGGTCTGAGGAACAGACAGAAACAAGCCTGCTCTTTCCCATTCCTGCTCTCAGATGACATTTCATCCCCATTCATGAGGACTGGCACATGTGTGGATGGCTGCCACATTCTTTTGTATTACAATCAAGTCATCTGAGCCTCTGGGAATATGTTGCTATATATCAGTTGGCCTGCATTTCTGGCTCCTGGGTCACTCCTTACCTCTTCTTTTAAAATTCCTTTTTTTGTTGTATTATAATTAAAGTATACAACCTGGTGTGTTGATATATAAGAACTGACAGGATGTATTAACACATAACAATTAAAATTCTAGCAATTGGCAAAAATTTGATTGATGTTCTTAGAATCATCTAGTCTAGGGCTAGGGATGTGGCTCAGTATTGGAGCTCTTGTCTACCCATGCACAAGGCCCTGGTTTTGCTCCCTAGCACCACCAAAAAACAAAACAAACATCTAGTCCAATGATTTCCAAACCTGATAATGAAACAGAATCACCTGTACAGCTATTTAGAAATACAGGTTCCCAGGTCCCACTCTAGCAAGGGTTTCTAGCCTTAGGATTGAGGTAGGGCTCTGGGGTGCTACCTACCACACACATTGATATTCATAAGTAAAGGGGAAAGAAAGAGTGGAGAAGATAGGAAGACTTTTCTGAGGAGGTAATACTTAGTCTGCAGTGGGAAGTATTGGAGGAAGAGCATGCGAGCAGGAAATAGCATGGTGTGTTTACAATTAAAAGTAGACCAGTGTGCCGGGTATCATGTGAAGAAAGGGAAGGAAGCCTTGCAAACACCCATGAGGAGTTTGGGTTTTGTTTTTTTGGACCTTTTTTCCTATTTCAAATTATCAGTTATTCATTTTAATCATTTTAACCCTTGTTTACACTATGGGTTTTGTTTTGACTGCTTTTGTTCTCCTGCTATCTCTGAGTTCTGTATGGAGAATTGATTGTGGAACAAAAGAGGGAACAGTGGGGTCTGAACTATTCTCTGATGATAAGTGGGACTCAAACTCTGGCTCTGAAGATGGAGAGGGGAAGGCAGTTTAAGAGAGTCAGCAGGACTTGTTAATGAGATGAAAATGGGTTGGAGGGATAGGTGTGTAAGGATGACACTGAGGGGGTTCTGCTAGACATAGGATGTGGTCAAGTGCCCTGGTTGCCTTCTTTGTAAGACATATTTAAGGGCACCTTTCTACTGGGTTGGTAGTGAGTCAATATTTGTAAAGCTCTTAGGATAAAATTTGGCACATGGTAAAACACTATGTAAATATTAGAATTGATTCCATGATGGTGATTTGCTCAAGGTCACACAGCCGGTCAGCAGCAAGTGCAGGAAAAGAAGGCCAGGCCCAGCCTCTCAGTTTAGTGTATGTCATCCATGCTATGCTGAGCTGCTTCCTGTAGTTACCTTTGACGTTTTTTATGTAGACCCTTAGTAAAGAGTGATCATGGTACATGATGAGTTGCACTTATTGTGTTGCACTAAACATGATTTTTTAATTGCTGGAGTTTTCTGTACAGCCTAGAGTTCCAGATTATTTTGGTTATCCAGAAAACAGTGCCATTCCAGACAAAACACAGGGGCTGGATGGTGGGAGGAAAAGTATATTGGAAGAGAGATGTTCTGTGTCTAGTTTCTAAATATTAAAATTTAAATATTATATCTTCCAGATAGATGTGTTCATATTGTCCACAAGCCTATTAGGCTAGAGTAGGCACATGTATTCTCCAATGGGAGATGGCGTTGAAATACTCAATACCAGAAGTTATAGGTCACTGTGTGCCGGGAGAAAGAAAGAAAGCAAGCTAAGAATGCTAGTCTAACTCCCCTAGACTGTCAGGTTTCTAGTGATACATCTTAAAGAAGTGTTTGAAGTGCTTCTATCTGTCAGTTTCAACTAAGCTAATTTTTTAAAATTTCCCTTTGTACTGTGCCTTTTTCATGAACCTCAGTGAGTTTAATGTATACAATATGTGGGGAAAAGCCTGTCAGCCTCTTGACCATCCCCCCCAAAGTCTGAAAAGCAGACTTTAAAAGCACATGATTATACCTGCAAAGATTTGTATCTTATCAAATGGGACCCGAGAGCATTTTCAATGTAACCTACAGGAAAAATTTCAGAAAGGGGTGAGAGAAAATGCTGCCCCAGCCCTTCCTCTCTGGGACTGACTGCCTGTTTTGTTGCACTTCTATTTCAGACAGCATAGGGAGGACTGTTCCTCATTACCAGGGAATGTGAGTCATTCCCAGATTTGTGTGATTGGGATTCCAAAGCATTGCTGTATCCGATGGTCTTATTAAATCCAAGTGTCAGTGCAGCTTTTCAGACTGTAGGGGAGAGCTCAGTTACAGCTGCTGACCTGGTTCTAGTTACCACACAGAGACACTGGCAAGAGCAGTGACTCCCTCCGAGTACCCAGAATTCCACATGCATGGCTGTTACCAACTGTTCCCAGATTTGGGGGTTTCCTGGTTCACTTCATGACCTTCAATATATTAGGCTCCCTGTTTATATCCCAGTTAGGATCTGTAAACTTTAGCGGGGAAATGTCCTACTATCCCTACAAGATAGTGCCAAGATTACTCTCGAATTTTCAGGGTACCTTGTTCTAGATTTATACATCCAATACTGGTAACTGCATGGTGTCCAGCATCTAGCAGGATGCTATCCAATTCCAGCTTGGTCCAAACAAAACATAAAACATCAACCAGAGAGGGAGGAGACTTCAGATGTTACCAGAAAATTAGTATGCTCTGTCTTTTCTTTCTTCTAGAATGTTTCACAGCCAATGGTGCAGATTACAGGGGAACTCAGAACTGGACAGCACTGCAAGGTGGGAAGCCATGTTTATTCTGGAATGAGACTTTCCAGCATCCATACAACACTCTGAAATACCCCAATGGAGAGGGTGGCCTGGGCGAACATAACTATTGCAGGTAAGATGGGGCCACAGTAGTTAAAATCTGTAGTCTCTTCCAACTCCTTTCAACCCTGCTCATGAGTAGAGAGAGCTTCCTTATCTTTTTGGCCAACTCAAAAAACTTTTCGTGACACTATTTTAAAAATTGTCCTCTCATACCTTACACGCACACACTCACAATCAATCTCTCTCTCCCACAATCTACTGCTTTCTTTCAACTTTTAGCACTCCTTCCCTGTCTGATCATTTACTTGTCAGAAAGGAGGTGACTGACATTAGCAGGGGCTTTTTGAGATGAGGTCTCACTGTGTTGCTCAGGCTGGCTTTGAACTCTTAGACTCAAGTGATCCTCCTATACCACAGCTTCCTCAGTAGCTGGAACTATATGCGCTCACTCGCCAATGCACCTGGGTGCTAGGAGCTCTTAATTTCATATCCATGGTGCTTCAGATAATCATGATTTCCTTGAGATGATCGGTGGCTTTAATCAGATTCTAAAAGTTACCTATAATCAAAAACAAGTTAAGAATCATTGGTATATAGGAACAAGAACAAAAATTCTAGGCACCTTTGGTTATATCTTTTAGCTTTTTACACCTAAGATCCTGGTAAAATGACTCATACTTTAGCAGTGTGTTGAATCAGTATCAGGACAGGTACAAAAGCTGCCTCTTGAGCCATTGGGACTGGGAAAAACTATTGCTGAGCTCCATTCTGAGTTACATGCTGTATCCCTGGTTCTGCTAGGAGGTTAGCATCTCAACCATATGGCACTGTTGACCCAGCTGAGCCAACACATATATTCCTGCACTGCATGGGCTGTTTTATTTACCTTCTGCTCTCCACATATCTTTGTTAATACTTGGGGGTCCTTGTGGTAGTCAACAGGCCTGCAGGCCATGTTTTCTTTATCCTTGCATCTTCACTTCCTTCACCTCTGTCCTAACTTGTATCAACTGACCATTGCCCCATAGCTGTTATTGCTGTATGTTAAAGACTGTTAGTATGAGTATTAAAAGCTTGTTACAAAAAAATTCCTCAAACTCTACAGATATTTATTTTAAATAAAGTTACCTCTTTTCTGAAAAACTCTCCCCACCAAGTCCAGCCATTTTATATGTGCTACTTTCCATTTTGTTATCTTTTGTATTTTATTATTAAAGTTACAAATGCTCATTAAGCAATTCTCTTTTATTTTCAAAGTTGTACACATTAATTTCTTGCATAAATAAAAAATTAGCCCTATTCTGTTTCCAGTATATTACTTCCTCTCATTTTTCTATTCATAGGAATGGTTGAGTTGGGTAAAATGTTTAGACAGGGAAAGGAATGTTTGTTTTTTATTTTTACATAGATACTTTTCTCTTGTTCATATATATATATATATATATATCCCTTTCCCACCCTTCTTACCTTCTTCCCTCTCTCCTTTTCCTTTCCTCCCTCTCTTCCTTCCCTTTTTTGTGATAGAGTTTTGCTAAGTTGCCCAGACTGGCTTCAAACAGGATATCTTCCTGCCTCAGCCTCCCAAGTGGCTGGGATTATATGCAGGCTTCCTCTTCCTCCCCTCCCCATCTCCCCTCCTCCTCTCCCCTCCTCCTTTCTCCTTCCCCTCCTCCTTCTCCTTCCAGTACTGGAGATTGAACCCAGGCCCTTGAAAAATGCTAGACAAGTACTCTACCACTAAGTTACACCCCACCCCCATAAAGTTTCCCTTGGTATTAGGCTGTTGGTTTATTCTATTACTCTCTTGGCTTTAATTATTAAACAAGTCTTCTCAGAAGAGCTCCTGCTTTTAAGTCTGACTTTGAGGAAAAATTTAAACTTCCAATGAGAGTTAATTTATATGAAAATCATTTTTTTCCCTAAAAGCACCCATGTCTTCTCACAGGCTCTCAGAAACACACCAGCAAATATTCATTAAGAGAGCACCAAGGGCCAGGAGTACCTTTTTCCTTAGTCCTGACTGGCTGCAACACTCTCCTTTGATTTGATGGAATGTACCAGACCTGAATTTCCAGTTTATACTTCAAAAAGGGTGGCTGGAATTGTTGATTATTATCACATCAGAGTCCAGTCTTTTTGTTTTAGCACTGCAGTGAAGTAAAGATGAGTTTGCTTGCTCTTTATTAAGCTGTTCTGATGCTTTTCAGAATGGCTTTTACATTGATAATAAATAGTTGTTTTTAAGGGCTTTACCCAGTTCTACATCAAAGCTGAACACTGAATAGAAGAGGAAAATGACAATGAAATACTATTTAAAGAAGGGCTTTGTACAAGTTCTCCTCCTTTGATTTCTCAGCTGACACCCGACACCATGTTTGTCTTGTGCAACTTTTCAGAGCCATCAGGTCTGATATGTCTGAGAGTTGGTGAATGATGGGAACGCCCTTCTGGGCTATGCTCTAGGTATCTGGATTAGAGAAGAAGGCAGAGACTGGGGAAGAGCAGAGTTGGCGCTGCCACCTGGCTTTGGGCACAAGAAATAAAAGAACCCTTTGTACCCTGGGGAAGCTTATCTTTTAGGCAACACAATAAACTTATCCTTCTCATGCCTGATAGGGGTTGCTCCAAAACTCTACACTGCTGGGTCTTTATGCCCATTTCCGGCCTAACCAAAGCATCAGGTTTCCAGTATTCTGAGTCTGAATAAAAGGGGCTTGGAAAGTGGTGAAGAGAGGCAAGGCTTTCTGTGTGTCCAGTAGGCCCTGCCATTTGTTGATTGCTTCAGCAGTGTTGACTGTTACAGGCATGACATCTCTGAGTTGAAAAAAACTTAAAAGGTGTTTATTCCAAGCTGTTCTCATTTAGGATGTGGAAGCAAATCTTTTAAGAACTCATTGTTGCTGTATCTGAAGCTTGTGCCAGGATGACAAGATGACAGATTCTAACTCAGACTCTTGGCATAGTTTCCTTATTCTCTGAGGGTTCAGTGTTTTGGGGAAGGAGTAGGACCCATTTCTATCAAACATGAGTAGACCAGTCTGATCCTGGTGGAAGCTTGCCAGTAGCATATATTATATGAATTCTACTTTATTGCTTTAAAATCACACAATTGGGAATATTCATTATAGAGAGAGTACTACCAGAAAAGAAAAAAATTGAAGTCACTAATAATCTCATCAGCTGGAAATAAATAGTTTTAAGAGTTTAGTGTTTATCTTTTTCTAAATACATTTTTTAAAACATGAGATTTTGTCATCTATGGTTTTATAACTGCTTTTTTAAATAACTGCTTTACAAAAGCAAAGCAACACTTTTTGTGTTATATCATGTACCAGCTCCCCACAATGAATGTAATCATTATGTACTGCAAACATGTACTAATAAAAATACATTTAAAAAATAAACTAGACAAAGAGCAGAACAATAAGACACTGAGAATGTTTTCATATTAATAAGACAGGGCCTCTACAGCACATTTTCTCTACCTGTGTAGTAGTCCCTTGTGTGAATATTCCATATTTGTTTAATTAATCTTTTTATTAGGTATTTGCTATTTCCAACATTTTTATATCCTAAAAATACTTTGTTGAACATCTTTATAAGTAAAGATTTCCTTAGAGTAAATTCCTAAAGAGGAAATTATCAACCAAAGAGTTTATATCTTTTGGAGGGGGTCTTTTACTCTTATTATCCACTGCCATCCTGGATGTTTGTACTGGTTCACGTTATCATCAGCACTGTTAAAGGTGCCTATGTTCATTCAGCTATCAGAATTTCTGTGTTTACATTCAGTTGGCCAAATGTCTGGCATGATTGTTTTAGTGATCTTCATCATACCACAGTGAATTTGTTTCCACCTTTGCTCGCTTCTCCCCAACCTCCGAGGGACATGTCAGAGTGGAAAAATTTGTTCTCAGAATATTGCTAATGTTTTCCTTCTTGATAAGACACATACCAATCATTAGGAATAACACCGAAACTGTTCTGTAAAACCGAAGAGAATAAACTAGCTTACTTAAACATGAGCAGTGTCATTGATTGTGTTCTTGTCCCCAACAGAAACCCAGATGGAGATGTGAGCCCCTGGTGCTACGTGGCAGAGCATGAAGATGGGGTGTACTGGAAGTACTGCGAGATTCCTGCCTGTCAGAGTAAGATTCATGCTTATCTGATGGTTTTCAGGACCTGAGCACTAAGTGAAGTATGGAAGGCCTCCACCAGAGGTCAGGTAGTTCAGGCCTAAGGATTTCGTGAGTAGATACAGGAAGAAGCCATCTGGGCAGGGGATTTTCAGTTCTTTTGTTGAGGTTTTTCAAGAATACCAGTACTCATTTCTTCTGTACCTTGTCCCATGGGTGTTTTCCAGATGGGTAAGACAAGTGAAATTTCTTTTAGTTAATTTCCTCATGGGGATTCTTTCATAGCTAGAGTGGGCAATGGCTCAGTAGCAGACTAGAGGGGGAAAAAGGTGTTTTATACTTTTTCAAATGAATTTTTGGGATTGAATTTGGGATGAATTTTTTGAAATGAACCTCTTTAAGTACAGTGAAACTAATACTATTTAGTCTTTAGCTTTGAACAGATCCCATGAAAAATGATACTTGGTAACTAACTTGTTAAATACCACATAACCCATATGATAGTTCTTTTATCCATATTAGCACAAAAGCCACTTTTTTATTTTTTGTTTTTTTGAGACAGGGTCTCACTATGCAATTCAGGCTGGCCTTGAGCTCACTATGTAGTTTAGGCTGGCCTTGAACTCACGGTGATGCTCCTACCTCAGCCTCTCTAGTGCTGGGATTATAGGCATGCACCACCACGCCCAGCTAAGAACACTATTTTAAATGATAATAAACAACCCAGTTTCTTCAGTCTTTGACCAGGAGATCTGTTTTCTATTTTGTTCACTACTGTATTTGATGCTTATTATGTGCAAGTTACAAAGGCAAAAGGACACCTGGCAAAAAAAAAAAAAAAAAAAAAAAATGACAGCTGCCCCTTATGAAGTGTATGAGGTAGAGGGACTCTTAAAAAAGATACTTTAAAACAGGGTAGAAAATATTGTGCAGAGGTTTTAGAAATACTTTAAAGAATGGAAACTAAAACCAAATCTGATACTACAGTTATCTATTAGCATTTGAGTGGGATCGGTTCCAGGATCCCCATTGGCAAAAAGTCTGAGGATGCTCAAGTCCTTTGTGTAAAATGGAATAGTATTTGCATAGAACCTTTGTACATTCTCCTTTATGTTTTAAATTGTCTCTTGATTACTTATAATACTTAATACAATGTAAATGCTATATAAATAGTTATTATAAAGTATTGTTTAGGGAATACTGACAAGAAAAATAGTCTATACAGGCTCACTATAGATGCAAGCCTTTTTTATTTTTCCTTCCAAATATTTTAAATTTATGGTTAGTTGAATCCATGGATATGGAACTTGCAGATGCGGAGCCCATGGATATACAGGGCTGACTGAATAAGAAAGTTACTAATGTAGACTTCATAATATATGTATTTTTAGGGCTGGGTATGGTGGCACACACCTGTAATCCCAACACTAGTGAGGTTGAGGCGGAAGTATTGCCTTGAGTTCAAGGCCAGTCTGGACTACAAAGTAAGACCCTGTCTCAAAAAACAAAACAACAACAACAAAAATTTTTTTTTTTGCAGTGCTGACAATTGAACCCAGGGCCTTTTGCATGCTAGGCAAGTGCCCTGCCACTGAGCTACACCCCAGCCCTAGAATATATTTTAAAATGTGCCAAAGGAATGACAGAGTTGCCTAGTTCCTGAAGCTAAAGAAAAGAACAGTTCATTCATAACCAATTTTTTCTTTATTACTTAAGCCTACTTTTTGGTCTGCCACTCATCTCACTCCTCAGATCAAGAGGCTTGTGTGTATAGAGTTACTTGGAGGTTTATGTGGGACCTAGGACGCTCTCACTCTGGCCTAGAGCAGCACTCTGAAATCTGATGCCTCAAGGGAAAAGGAAGGGCAGCTGAGGGAGGAGGGTTAGAAGTTTGAGCCAGGCCTGGACAATTTAATGACTTACCAAGACCCTGTCACAAAATAAAAACTAAAATAGCTGGAGATGTAGCTCAGGGCAGAGGCTCTGGGGTTGATCTCCAGTACTGAAAAAAAGAGGAGGGTGGGTGGGGTGGGAATGAGCAGTTGGACCAGTGCTGCAGGCCCTGTATTTGCCTTCTATAACTCAAACTTCCAAATATCTCCACTGCCTGGAAGCTAGGCCCAGTTTCACTATCCTTCCAACCTGAGTGTGCCTTAATTCAGTCCCCAAATTGAGAAAACTACAAAGACCAGAATATTAGGCTTTTGGTCAGTCTGCTTAATCAAATTTTTTAAATGAAAAAACATCTCATTTGGCTCTACTTGTATAAAGAAGAAAGGGGCAAGGGAGAGGAAAGCAGATTTTCCTCGGTCCATTTGTTCTACACAAAGATGGTCTTTTACTACCAGGCTGTGTCATTCTCTCGGGGATGGTGAAGAGGGGATTTCAATCTGGGCACTTTTATTCAGAAAGATAATCTTCAACTTGCATTTATAAAATATAACTTGGATCAATAGGAGCTGATGCATATGGTTACTGGAACTAGGTTCCAAAAGAGAGAATTATAGCAAAATAATACTAGCCACCAAATATATCTAATTTGTAATATTTGCTGGATATCCTTCACTATCTCAGAAAGGGAAATTAAGTATTATTTTCATTTTTTCTGGCTCTTTGATACTTATTAAATGGGTGTGAGCAGGTAGACTTACAGAAGCTGGGAATGAGTAGTTCTTGGTCTGTGGGATGGAGGATGAGTTGTGTCTAGCTCTGGTTCTTTAGAAAACCCTTCAATTCACCCTGTGAGTACTGGGCTCCCCATCAAACCAAACCTTAGACCTTGCATCTGGCAGAATATTGTGCTTCTAGTGTGTCTCATTAACATAGTTGAGGAAAAACTCTTGTGCTATTTGCAACAAGAGACCTTGGTAATAGTAGGCTGGTGGATTTAATAGAGATACAGTTTGCCTATTTTAGGCAAATTTCCCCCTCTTTCTGGATGCAGAATCATAGATTTCATGACTAATACTGACTCTATAAAGCCTGCTATTCATGATTAGGACTGAACTTGTCATACAGGAAAAGGCCTGTGACATGATCAGATTCCTGGAAAGTTCATATCTGAATATAACAGGCCCAGCAGGAGCTGGGGGAATGAATGTTGAGGGACAAAACAGAATTGGCTTGAATGGTGGGCCATTGTGTGGAGACCGGAATCTCTACCCTTGGTTATAAGAAGGGCTGCAACAAGCAGGAGGCAGAGATGAAGCACGATTCAAAAGTGGGCAGAGAGAAATTTGAATGGTGCTCTTGGCCTACAGAACATGGATCAGAACTTACTATTAAAAAGAGAATAACTCTGAGGTAACTGGGTTTGTCCCTCATGTGTTTCTGCCAGTATGTTTCTCAGAAACTCCAAGTTCTTATTGCACTCAGGAAAAATACAGATTTTAAAAGCAAACTCCAACATCAAGTTTAACATCCTTATAGATCTGACTCTCAAGCTAAGTCCTGTTGGTTTGGCTTTTTAGGGGGAAAATCATTTGGCCTAATATCCTTTGCATATTTGCCTTCTGTTAAATAATCACCTTCACCATTGTAATTCCTTTTATTGTTTTTGAGGGACATGCTCATGTGGACCTTCTCATGGCTTTTACTTTATTTTATTTGTAGCTTCTTTATAAATGTTTTATGGGGATTTTGAAGAGTAAATAATGTAATTGTGAATTGTCTGCAAATGGCATTTAAAGGCAGATATGATTTTTTTCATATAGCTGGTTTGGGTTTGAGGCCACCGGGCTTGAGAGATTTACCTTCTCATCTCTGAAAGCCATATTTTGTTTGCTAAAAAAATTCACCTACAAATCTAGCTATAAATTCATTTTTCAAACAGGGAAATTTGAATACAGACTATTATATTAAGAAATTATTGTTAATTTTATTAGGTATAGTAAAGATGTGAACTGGGTATGGTGTCACATGCCTGTAATCTCAGCATTTGGGAAGCTGAGGCCAGCCTGAACTACATAGACCCTACTCAAAAACAAAAACAATAAAGGCATGTTTAAGATTGCAGATACATAATGAAATATTTGTTTGAAATAGCATTATATCTGAGATTTTTTTTTTTTTGGTTCCGGGGATTGAACATGGGTCCTTGCGCTTGCACAGAAGGTGGCGAAACCACTGAGCTAAATCCCTGGCCCCGAGATTTATTTTAGAACAATCCAACTTTTCAAAGAGTGGCTGGGTGAGTGGGGCAAAGAGAAATAGAAAAATAAGAATAGTTTTAAGCGGCAATTTGTTGATGCTGGATAGTAGGTTCATTATTCTTATCTACTTTTGTGTATGTTCAAAGTTTGTGTTAAAAAGAAAATTTTGGTAGGTGTGGTGGTGCATGTCTATAATCCCATCACTCAGGAGGCTGAGACAGGAGGATTGTCAAGAGTTTGAGGCCAGCCTAGGGTACCTAGTAAGTTCAAGGCTATCCTGGACTACATAGCAAGACCCTATCTCACAAAAAAAATTAAAAAAAAAATTTTATAGTATTTTACACATTTAAAAATATATGAAAAAAATAAAAATAAAAATATATGAAAGTCATATTCAGAGTATCTGGGTTGAAATATGTAACATGATTAACCTGAACTGTTACATTTTGTCTGTTTTTCAGTGCTAGGGATCAAACCCCGAGCCTCATGCATGGTAGGCAAGTGCTATAGCACTGAGCTATATCCGAAGCCCTGTACTAGTTTTACACTAACTCACATGCATCTGAATTCATTGTTAAAGTTAGTTATTAATGTTTTAGTTATTAAACTTAGAAAAGCTATTAGTTATTCAACATTATTAAAACTTATTGAAGTAGTTTTAAAGTCAGTTGTTAGTTTAAAATTCCAAGAAATTTAGACCTATTTAGAAGTTTTTAGGTGTGACAAATGGTATTTAAGTTCTGACCATACATCAGACCTTGTACAAAATAGGAGACACGGGAATGGTGGGACCTGCAGTCTCCAGAGAACCCTCAGTCTAAGGCAGAAGGCAGACACACACGCAGATGAATACATGTAAAA